AGCTCTCCTGAACAGAGCCTGCCTTCGGAAGCAGAGATCTTCCAATCCCCGTGAGCTCTGACAATGAAACCCTCATTAAACCTAATAAGAGATAACTGGTCCATTTAGCACAAATTGTCTCCTCGTGTTGGAAATGGAATATGAGGCACTGAAAATGGGTGGTGTGGAAGGGGTCACAGTTGTTCACACAGGCAATGCTGGTGAAGGGCAATCACACATAGTGAGTACATGTCTTTGCCAAGGTCATCTTTTCTAAGCCCCTGCCTTGGAGCAGATTCCACAAATCCAAATCATCTCTCCCTAAATATTATGGACAGTCATCCCTTGCAGATAGTCCCTGTGGGCTCCAGCCTTTGGTCCTTCTGTGTCAATACTCACACTGCTTCCTTACTACAGATGCTCTAACATCCAAGCCCCTTCATGGAGCCTGACTTCTTTGGTCTACTTTCCCTTCCTCAAGAGACCAATGACTGGGCTGGGGATGTAGCTCAGGGGTGCTGCACCTGTCTGCAAGGTCTTGAGTTTGATCCTGGTACAAGGAAAAAAGAGCGGGGGAAAGGGAAGAAGACAGGGAGAAGGAGAGGGACCAATGATGGCCACTTGACAGCTCCAATGCTGCCTAAGGTACCTGGTTTCTGCTGAGCTTTCTCCTGGCACCAAGGAGCTGGCCTCCTCAGAACACCTCTGGTCTGCACAGAGCGGGGAGGGGGAGGGAGTGGACAGATAACCATTCATCTGGCCCCCTACAAGATATCAAGGCCACCCGGCAAATCTGAGATGAAGATCCACCAGTCTGTCGCTGCAGAATTCCCCTTCTTGCTCCTTCAGTGGGGCCAGTTATGCTTTACAGAGAAGACAGGCCTGGCTGAATGCAGCTCAGGGATCCTTGACCACTGAGGAATGGTCCTGGATTTCTGAACTGAAGGCTTTCTTCCTTCCGTCTCTCTTGCTATCCTCCTGGGGACTGCAGTTTGTTCCTGTTGCCTTTGAGGTGATCCTTGCCTCTGTCCTTATGCTCATAGACCTCAAAAGCTGGACATCTTAAGGAAATGAGAAACGGGAGAAAGTGGAGTGGTGTTCAGGCTTGATATCTTTGTGTGTGAGTGTGTGTGAGTGTGTGTGTGAGTGTGTGTGTGTTGTGTGTGTGTGTGTGTGTGTGTGTGTGTGTGCTACCGGGGAGCGAACTCCGGTCCTTGCGCTTGCGAGGCAGGCAGCAGAACCACTGAGCTAAATCCCCGGCCCCAGGCTTGATATCTACAAGGACCTTTGCAGCTACCTGGACCACGAGACACTAAAGTGGGGAAGGAATGAGGAGGAGCCAGCTTTGTGGGGAGGACTTCGGAGAAGGGGAAATCTCCCACAAACGGCTACAGTCTTTGCAGCAGGGGGAGGAATGCTTGTCTCCTGTTCTCTCTCACCTTCAGGGACTCAAAGTCCCCTTTAGGTCACTACTATTTTTCAGGCCAAAAATCAAGATCCCGGACTTTCTCTCCTTTGTCTATAATAAGCAGCAAGGACACAATCCTCCACCTCGTCCAATTACAGAATTGTTCTGCTGCTCTTAGCCCTCACTGAGACAAAGAATTCTTTTCTGTCTCTCAGGGTGGCTTTTCCTGTTGATGGTCATAAATTGCATTCCTGCTTACTCCCTGGCCTCTTGATCTTTTTGCTTTTGTGCTCAAGAAATTATTAATATTTCTCTTAACTCCACATATAACCTTTGACTGTTTCTTTCTCTTTTTCTTTTCCAGGTTAAGTAGCATCCTCCGGGATAACTACGATTGCTTCTACACCTACACGCTTCTGTCTAGGCAGGGCACTATGCAGGGGATGGAGACAAATTCACAGGAAGAAGATTCAGAAGGTCCCTTCTTCAGGGAACTCCAAAACCAAAAATAATCACAGCTAGCATTTACTGAGTGCTCGCTGTATGCCCAAGAGCAATTGCGTGGATTTTGACCTGCTCAGTCCTCACAATAATCCCATGTATTAGTCAACTCTGTGTTACTGTAACTAAGTACATGAGACACACTGTTTATGAAGGAAAGAGGTTAACTGAGCTCCTAACTGTGAAGGTTCCAGATCAGGCAGCCCCTGAGAAGGTAGCTGACTGGCAGGAGCTTCTTGGAGGTGAGGGGTCACATCTCAAATAGGAAGCCAGAGGGAGCTTGCTCCCTCCTTAACAGCCCTGGGCTATGAACTAAGAGGGGAGCTCTCACAAGAACTCCTTCAAGTCCCTGGTGGCTGAGGGACCTCCCAGCAGTCCTCAACTCTTAAAGGTTTCACAGCCTCCTGGAACTGCAACTCTTGTGGACCATGGGATCCCCAAAACGTAGTTCCTCATTAAAAAGTAATTGTTATTGATTTCTGTTTGCATACAACCAAACTCTGGATCAGAGAAATTAAGTATAGGAACAGTCCAATGCCACACAGCAAGTATGGGGCAGAACCCAGATTTAAACCCCATCTGCCTGATCTCAATGGCCGTGTTTCTTGCTCTCCGCCACTCTGCTATCTCATGGATGGGTTGATCCCATTATTTTTCTATCCCCAGGGAGCTCTACCTAAAGGGACACATAAAGTCAGTCCTTGCTTCCAGGGAGCCCCAAAGTCATGCTTTGGATTTAAAACGTTCCAAAACACTCCTGTGCTAAAGGCCGGGTTGCCGGACTGTGGGGGAAAGTGACTGAGTTGCGAGAGTTCTAACCCCAC